CCCCAAAACCCCAAAACCCCAAAACCCCAAAACCCCAAAACCCCAGCTAGAACTTGCAATATTGAATTTTATCACTAGAATTACTCTTTTGATGCAATATTTTGAATGTGTGTCAGAGATTAGATGAATTTTGAGTGCTTAAGGTACTTTTCATAGAGAGATTTCTCTTCAAAGCTGAAATAGCCATTATGCCCACATTTTACCAGCATTAGATGACCTGCTTTGTCTGAAAGAGTAAGACTATTGAGTAAAGAATGTGAACCACTTCTTTCACGGTTTTTAAATATCGGCTCATCTTTGAAAGAATTTTCTGCATTAGGAGTTGTAAACTTCATGTACTCATTCTTATCATTTTCTAATTTGTACTCTTCGGTGACTTGGCTATCATCAATCTTACAGGGCTCATCAAGTCGAATTGATTCAAACTTATCATTCTCAGTTTGGCCTGTTCCAGGTTCGTATTGCTCTGTAATTTTCATCAAATCAGCATTCTTCATAGGGCTTTGAAGATATTTATCAGTCTTTTCTTCCTCTTCAAGCTTCTTGCTCTTTACAGTAGTTCTCGCTTTGAGATAATCAGAAATCTTCTCGAAGGAATTATGCAGGATATTTGTTCTAAATCTGACAAATTCGAAAAGCTTTCCTTTCTCATTTTTCATGAGAGCTATACACCTGAGGAGGGATATTTTAGCAAATTCTATCTTCTCACTAGCTTGTTTTCTTAAATGAACTGAGAGATCTTCTATCTCTTGATTATTGTAGGACTCCCAAGCTCCCCAGATGTCCAGATTGATGAAGAAAGTTTTAAATTGTTTCTCTTGATTCCAGCTTGAATATTTAAAAACATCAATTAAAGAGATGCCTTTAGCATCAATCTTTTCCAAGATCCTGATAATCTTTGCAAGAAGTTTTGAAAGGGTTCGATAATCAGATTTTTCAAAATACTTCTTTTCCTTCTTCTTTAAGTATTTTATAGAATTTTTATATTCATCATATATTTGACTTGGAGAAGGTTCTTCCTCTACTCCTGGAATTGTTATTTTAAGAAAATCGTCTGGTCAGTCTTCATCTTGACATGTTTCAAGATATTCGGAGGATTGACTTTTAGGAGCCGGCTCTTCAAGGTTTGGTCTATCAACAAAGACTGTCCTATTCATATTTTTGCTGTTAAATCCTGAGTGAACTTGGAAAGTTAGAGAATCTTCTCCATATTGGTTCTTAGCTCCTTCATGAAGGCTTGAGTTTCCAATTCCGACAATAGCATTAAATTGATTGTTTGAATCATCCTGATTTGTGCTAAGCTCTTTTAGTTCTTCAAGTTGGTCTTCATATTTCTTCCAAGAATACAACTTTTTACCTAATTTCAGAAGTTCTTTAATTGTTTTAAAAAGAATATCACCCTCATCTTTAGAAATAATATGAAAATATTTACTGAAATTGAAGTCTTTGCCAGAAAATCGATGGGCTTCGTTCACCGTTTCCCTAGAAATAGCATTTGATAAAGAACAAGGTTCATCAAGAAGTTGATCGTCAGGGTCACAAGATACTACTTTATATCAATTTGCTGCAACATAATCTGGAGCTACACTATCTCCAAAGCAGGTGACTCCAAGGTAGAAGTATCTAGCTATTTTCCCTATTTTCGATTCTGGGACTTTAGAAATAGCTTCAAATGAGCGATCAACGAACAAAAAGTCTACTTTGGTATGTCTTGCTACATAACTAGCAACTGAACCACCAAGAGATTGACCATGGATTCCAAATTTATTTGTAAGATAAAAATGTTCTTTAAAATGTTTAAGGACATATTCGCCATCTTTACGAATATTTTTAGGATTTGGTGATCCCTCTGATCTTCCATAACCTCTGTAATTCCATATAGCAACATTTATTCCCAGGCTGATGTAGCTTAACCACTCTGTCTGGTATGTAAGGTATTCATAATATCCAGCATTTGGATTACAGAATAACATTGTAGGGCAGTTCTTATAATCTGTAACGGTAGAATTTGAATCAGGAGAAGCAGGAATGAGCATGCAATCAATCTTTTTCCCATCAAAAGTTTTACACCATGTCTGAATTCCATTGTAACGAATTTCAAGTTCGTTTCTCATCTGATCTATTCTCCCAAAAGGCTTATACCTAAACATTCTAAAGAATTTAGAAAGTCCTTTTGCTGTATAATAGGCTTTGAGATCCTTTCTAATAGTTTCACATAGAGATATTAGTTTCCTAGCTTGGTGATTGCCAGGAGCATCTTCAAATTTTACTAAGAAGTAGGAATCTATCCTATTACTTTGGTCGCTTTCATACAAGCTCTCAGGATCTAGATCCCACAAGCATGTATTATGATCGTTAATACTGAGTTTCGTAAGCTGTAGAAGTTCCTGGAGTTTATGAATATTGCTATAGTCAGTATTTCTAATTCTACAGAGCCGCTTAAATTTTTGAATGGACTCAATGACATCTTTGAGCTCTCCTTTATCGATCTCTTCTCTCTCAATTAAGACTTGGATCAAATCCTCCATCTCTTCTACTTGTATTGCAACGAGGGAGCATGAGGATACACAGAAAGCATTTTCAATATTTCTGAGCCATAGTTTATAAGCCCCTGGAAAAGTCATACCTCTTCAGATAACTCTGAATAGCCAGAAATGAAGTATTAACAATAAAATTAGCGAACCAATTCCAGTGATAAAGTGTGCAATGAACTTAAAGATTAGAAAATAGATTAGTCAGACAACTATAACGATTCCTCCAATTAGAGAGATAAAGCACCCCTTCTTCATGCACTTCTTTGCTGAAGGGCTGGTTATGTAGGTTTGGACAAGCTTTGTGTAACTTGTGGTCTGACGAAATTTTGATATTGAAGAGTCTGGAGCATGCAGCATGTCTCCTGGCTTTGACTCATATGGAATATCTTCACCACCATTTATCATGTTTGGACCCGGGTCACTCATTTTCAATAAATTATATAACCAAAGGGGTTTTGGGGTTTTGGGGTTTTGGGG